TATATTGTAATATTATTAGTAATATTACATATAATGTAAATATATACTTATAATTACAATATTATAATAGTTATAGGTATAATTATTATAATAATATTATTATTGCTAGTATTATATTGTATTACATTATAATATTATAAATATTATATGTATATACAATATACTATATTAAATAATTAGTAAAGACAAGATGGAAATGTCTTCTCCTCCCCTCTGTCTTTGCTCTGGCCAGAATTGGACACAATATTCCAGGTGTGGTCTAATAGAGGGGTAGCATGACTTCCCTGGATCTAAACACTATACTCCGATTGATGCAGGCCAAAATCCCATTGGCTTCTGGATGTTGTAGTGTAAATTGATGTCTTTTTCACAATGTCTTGTTTTCACTACTGGGGACATACCAGAATATGAAAATAATTCATGTAATTCAAAGGTGGAACGGGGCAAGAAAGGGATGCTAGCTGGAGGATTCTAGTTGTCCAAAAAATTAATCTTATAATCTCTGAATATGTGAACACAGTTATAGGTAAACCTCATTGGGTTTAGTGGGACTATATTAGCGTGTATAAGAGCAAACATTACACTTACACTGCAAACATATCTTAGCGCATAGGTGCAGGTCTACTGTGGCTTTGAAGGTGTTGTGTTGTTATATTTTCATATTCCTTTACGGGAAAATGTTGACGCACAGCATCTTTCAATATTTGTGGTGCTTGGTGGAACTTGTTAAAACTGTAAGCAGAGGACAGCATGTTACTGAGCTGTATTTGAACGTGAATAGGGAATTGTTTATTGCATGCCTTGCGTGAAGGTATTCTTCGCCTTGTTTGCACGTGGCAAATAAAAGAGTAGGCTCTCTCAATTTTTTCATACTATATTAAGGGACTCAGATAGCAGACAAAGTCTTAATATGGGGAAGCAGATGGCTGGTAGTTGACATGGTGACTGCATTTCAAAACAGCTGTGCAGTAACAAGTAACTCACCACTGTAGGAGGGAGACTAAATTCTGCTCTCCCATTCCCATAATTATGTGGGAGAAGGTGAATCTTTTTCTTCAACCCACACTTTTAAAGTACTGTACTTTTATTAGAGTTTTATTGTATGGTTGGTATGGAAATTCACTTTTCAGAGGGAAAGAACTTTGCCTTATCAAAACATTCAACCTACATTTTTCATGAGCACAAGGACTCCTGTGAAAGTGGAAAAAACCCAGATTTAATTTTTTTACTGCACATAATATCTTTTTAGGAATCTCTTGGCATGAAAGCCAAGCTAGAGGACCTAAAGCAGTGGTTCTCAGCCTGTAGGTCTCCAGGTGTTTTGGCCTACAACTCCCAGAAATCCCAGCCCGTTTACCAGCTGTTAGGATCTTTGGGAGTTGAAGGCCAAAACGCCTGGGGACCCACAAGTTGAGAACCACTGACCTAGAGATTCCTAGAGAGATTCCTACTAATCAAATATACAAATAATCAAATTTGGAAGTTAAACCAGCAAATGTGAACAGTTACGTTGTTAAAGTATGAAGTATGGAACCCTGCGCAGACGGTCGGTCAATGTGACTTAAACAACGTGCAGTCATTGAATTCTTGACAGCAGAAGGTGTCACCCCAAAGGAGATTCATCAGAGAATGCAAGCTGTTTATGGTGACTGTGTTGATGTGAGTACTGTGCATTGTTGGGCAAGTTAAGTTTAAAGATGTTGAGGTGACACCTTCTGCTGTCAAGAATTCAGACTGCACGTTGCTTATGTCACATTGACCAGTCGTCTGCGCAGGGTTCCATACTTCGCACTTTAACAACATAACTGTTCAATGCTAAGGCTTTCCGCCAAAATGGAACTGTAGAGGAGAGTCTACTGAACAAGCCAGTACCTGCTGCATACCAGTACTGCCATCTGTTGAGGAGTTACAAAGGTGGAAGCATTACTTTTCATTCAACCCTTCTACAATATTGATAATGTTCCCTCTTCATAGAACTCGAGTCCCCCCAAGGAGATAGGTTATAAAAAAAGGTGGTTGTTGTTATTGTTATAATTATTATTATTGCAACAGATATCATTGGAACAAGCAACTTTGGAACAAAAATGCCTTCTAATCTGGCCTATAAATAAGCAAAGCTTTGGATAGTTACTATTGGGAATTTTTGTTGTTACTTGATGGCAAGCATTCTCACCAATCTTTGTTTCCTCAACAAGCCAACTTGCAAAATTCAATGATCACAGTGACAGAAAGTGAGGTCAAATCTTCTGAACAGGAGCAAAGACATCAAAAGAAGACCCACAGAGCTGTTAACCCTTCATTATGCTATCCAAAGCTTAAAAAGATGTTTTTGGCTGGAGTTGCACTTTTAAAATGTACGTGTTCTGACTCACATATACATTCAACTTAAGAACAACCCTAGATAATATCTTGTTCATAACTTGCAGATTGCTTATATGTTCTAGCTGTACTTGCAAAAACAAGTCTTCCTACTGTCTGGAGATAACTATGTGTGTGTTTCCTCAGATCTCCTCAGGAAGCAATTGGATCTTCATTCACCGGTTCTCTCCAGACTTATGGTGACAACTGGAAAATGTGTTTTATATATTGGATAAACTAGGTGGAAATAAAGTTCAGGCCCAAGTTGTTATGGTCATCCTTATCTTACAGTATAGAGAACTAACCAAAGAATCTGCCATAATATAAACATATTCAGCATATCCAATTCAAGGAAGCAGTCTTGGGTGCAACACTAGTCTTGTTTGGTTAACAGATAGAATTGCCCTACCTTGCCGTTCTTGCATAATCTCTAGTTCCGCATTAGAGTAATCCCTCCTATTTTGTCAATACTATTTATTTCAGATTGACATCAAATACCCACAAGATGTTTGGTTGCAAAATAATTTTTGATCTAATTTAGTAAGTTGTTCAGTAAAGGCACAGAGCTTCCTGAGATCTGAGATGGGAACCCAATACGCATTGCTTTTTAAACTGTGGGGCATTATCCCAGATGGGTCTCCATAGCTCAATGCTGGGGTTGTGAAATACCGTATTTACTTGATTCTAATGCTCACCCTTTTTGACTAAATTACCTTCCCAAAATTAGGATGTGCGTTAGATTCACATAATATGAAAAATACTTTTTGAAGTTTCAGGGTTTTGAAAGTGAACTGTGTTGGAGGAAAGTTCTGAGAGTGCCTGGGACCGCCAGAAGATCCAACCAGTCCATACTTCAGGAAATAAAGGACTGCTCATTGGAGGGAAGGATATTAGAGGCAAAGATGAAGTACTTTGGCCACATCATGAGAAGATAGGAAAGCTTAGTGAAGACAACAATGCTGAGGAAAATGGAAGGAAAAAAAAAAAGAGGGGCCAACCAAGGGCAAGATAGATGGATGATATCCTTGAAGTGACTGGCTTGACTCTGAAGGAGTTGGGGTGGTGATGGTCGACAGGTAGCTCTGGCGTGGGCTGGTCCATGAGGTCACAAAGAGTCAGAAGTGACTGAACGAATAAACAACAAACCAGATGAAACATGCTAGCTACAACAAGCTAACTGAGAACATACGTGAAAACTGAAGCAATTGAAAGCTGTTTTAACAGCACAGCAGTACTTTTTCACAAGAGCCTGTGAGTCAAATGAAAATGCCACAAAGGCAAGCTATGAGGTGGCATCGCTGATTGCCAGGCATGGCAAACCTTTTACTGATCGTAAATTTATTAAAGACTTCATGATGAAAATGGTGGAGAAAATTTGTCCTGAGAAGCAAGAGTTTGCCAGTGTTTGCCTGGCTCATAACACTGTAGTATGAAGAATTGGTATGCTTGTCCACTATGCCCTGCCTCATGTACAGAGGAAGAATTGTTGGAGGCTACAGACAATGTCATTGCTGTTGCCCGTTTTTGATCAAAAGATATTTAGCCACCTGAGCTCCTTCTGTTTTTATCGGTTTTATACTAATTTATGTAATGCTTTTGATATGAAATAAAAATAACCACGGCCCCTTGTTGATGGGTAATGTATACCTATTATAGGGTAGGTGAGGATGCAGTAAAATGCTTTGGGCTAGGCCTGAGATAAGGAATTCTAGCAGAACACTGATGGCCAAGTAGAGCAATGCATCCAAGTATTTATTGTTGTGTACCTGCAGATTCTTTCCGACTTATAGTGATTCTTGTTGTTCATTTGTTCAGTCGTCTCCGACTCTTCGTGACCTCATGGACCAGCCCACGCCAGAGCTCCCTGTCGGCCGTCCCCACCCCCAGCTCCTTCAAGGGCAAGTCAGTCACTTCAAGGATGCCATCCATCCATCTTGCCCTTGGTCGGCCCCTCTTCCTTTTGCCTTCCACTTTCCCCAGCATAATTGTCTTCTCTAGGCTTTGCTGTCTCCTCATGATGTGGCCAAAGTACTTCAAATTTGTCTCTAGTATCCTTCCCTCCAGTGAGCAGTTGGGCTTTATTTCCTGGAGGATGGACTGGTTGGATCTTCTTGCAGTCCAAGGCACTCTCAGGACTTTCCTCCAACACCATAGTTCAAAAGCATCAATCTTCCTTCGCTCAGCCTTCCCTAAGGTCCAGCTCTCACATCCGTAGGTTACTACAGGGAATACCATAGTGATTCTAAGGTGACCATATTGTGTGGTTTTCTTGGCAAGATTTGTTCTGAGGGTTTTGTCTTCTGTGGCTGGTTGAGATTCCATTTCTAGCTAATCCAAAATCATCATTCTATCCATAACTGTCCTGGGGAACTTAATGTTGATATATAATACAGTTAGCTTTAAGCTTCTTGTAGATATTGATGTACACCTATCTAATTTTAATGGCTACTGTCAGATACAGGACTTTTTGGTTTTAAGAAAGAAGATAGGCTCCTGAAAAGGAACATGGGTGTTTTATTGTGGTCACTGTACAAAATAATAAATGAAGAAATTGTGACTTTTCATCTGATATTAAGAGACAGTTAGTTTATTAGCATTTAATGTTAATGGTTCAATGAACGTCAGTCTGAATGGTTAGCCCCCCCCCCCCCCCCCCACACACACACACATTTCACCTCACCATATCTGGCTTTCTTTGCAAAAAGTTTGCAAAGTTGAAAGAAAACACACAGAGGAAATTGCTGGCGTAGCCAATTGTATTTTATTATTTTTTAAAAAGCATTCCCTTATATAGGTTCCCTGATAAATTATATCCCTAGCTTTTAGCAGTGGGACAACAATGTGCAAAAAGGAGTGTATAGAAATAGTCCTAAGAGGCACGCTGATGCTTGGAATTTAAGGCTGCACCCCCTTTGTTTAAGATATGCACAAAGTTTGGACTACTTTTCAGCTATAGCCTTTGGCCACCCCAATATTCCCTCATAAGGACTACATATTTACAGATCACCCTACTTTAAAACATTTTTTTCCTTTTTACATCTTACAGACCAAAATGGCAATATAGATTACTACAGGCACATAGCACAAAGCAATTATATATTCATACAGTCAAACAATATATAAGAGAGCTATCCTCAAGACTGAAAAGAGGAATGTTTGGAGTAATGTTGAACATTTGACTGGTGTAACGGGCGATGGGAAACACTAAACCAAAGATCTTTATTGGATCTGATAGTGCAAATTTGATCAGTAGTTTAGAATTCAAGATACTGTGTCTGAAGCAACATTGTTTACTTCACATGGTTGAGGTGAGACCATTGCGCTATTAAAAACACAATGTTTTAGCTGGGATATAAGTTGTAATCCTACAGAATTTAAGTGCGTTGCTTTTTAAAAAGCTGTTATTTTCAATGAGAATGCCCTGGTTTACTAACACATACCTAGAAGTTTGCACTTGTGTTTAATCTGCACAAAAATCAATATGGGCTAATAATTCCCTATGCTGGCTAGTAGGATATTGTGCTTTACATTTGGGGCATTCCAGGAAACTTTCGTCAAGAAGATTGGATCGTCTTGGTGGAGAACATTTGTCTTGAAGTGTCAGCTTGTCTTGAAAGCCAGTCTCGAAGTTTTGGATGACTTCGATACATTCTCCATGTTCGGGAAGCTTCTGGAAAAAAATGGTTTAAAATATAATATGTATTTTATAGTAGAAAATTGTTCTTTATAGGGTAAAATAGCCAGATATATAGGAGTAAAAATAACTTTCTAGAACCCTGTATCAGCTGCTTACTTAAGTGGGGCATCACCCGTGTATCATGTTCTTCATTCTCACTCTTTCTGTTGCTGGTTAGACTTTAGTGCAACAACAACATCATTTTATTATGGTCCAAAGACCCCTACTGCTCCGTAAGTGTACAAAATATGCAAGGTTAATAAGATTAACAAAACAGACTGATTTAACACATAGTTGGATGAAATTAACAAGAGTTAAAACTGGTTAAAATACGTGATTAAAACTGATTGAAGCCATACAAGATAGCTATGACCATAGGAAAAAGACTACAAAAGGTACCAGGCATGTTTCAACCTGTGTCCAAAACAGAGAATTGCCTTATCCTGGCTACCTCGGAAAGAAACTTGGCAACAACCAGAGTCAGGTAGGGAAGATCATCACCAAGTAACAACTTCACATAAATTTTCACTTGACTGGCTGGTAAGTTTCTCAATGGGGGACTAATGATGTGTGCTCGAGCTTGTTCATAAAAAATTACATGACAGTAGATTATGGTAGATGTATTCTACTTCCTGTTTGTTACACGGGCAGAGTCTTTCATTATATGGGATACCGGCAAATTTCCCATGCAGCAGTTCAGATGGGAACACATTACACCTTGCCTTGGAAAATAGGCTACAGTATTTGGCCACAGTCAAGTCCTTTAGATAATTTGCTGCATGGAAACATAATGTATGTACAGGGCAGTAGGGGAGCAAGATACATAAGAGCAAGAGTACAGTTCACAAAAAGCAATATCCCACAGTCTGTGATTGATTGCTTCTCGGCCCTTTGGCTAAGATCAAGTGTAGACTTTCTAAGAACTCCACAAATTTGATGGAAACAACATTCACCTTTGCTGCAATCAATAGTAGAATGGACTTTTAATTCTTAGTAATGTATGTGTGGGGGAGGGGATAATGATGGTGGCAGTACTGTCACAACCATGACTAAGTAGCAGTCATGAATACAAAACAAGACTTATCCTTCCCTAACTGCTTTGTATTCAGAATCTCTATTTGGTTGCAATTTTTTTGACTGCTAACCCTAACCCTTTTCCATAACCTTTTATTATCAACTAGCCGTCCCCTGCCACGCATTGCTGTGGCCCAGTCTGGTGATCTGGAAAATAAATGAGAAAGTGTTGGTTTCTAATATATGTAATTTCTTTATGCTTGCGGGTAAACAGTACTTCTTGTTGTTTCTTTGTCAGTGTTGATGATGTGGATATTGTCTGGTTTGCCTACTCTGGAACATGCAACATAGAATTATCCTTCTTTAGGGGTCCCTTTCAAATCTATGATATTATATCTGTCATATATATATGTCTCTCTCTGTGTGAGAGAATCATACCTATCTGTCTGTCTGTCTGTCTGTCTGTCTGTCTATCTATCTATCTATCTATCTATCTATCTATCTATCTATCTCTATCTATCTATCTATCTATCTATCTATCTATCTATCTATCTATCTATATGGCTGGGTGGCTCTTTGTCAGAAGGGCTTTGATTATGTTTTCTTGCCCTGGTGAAGGGAGGTAGACTGGATGGCCTTAAGGCAGCATTTCTTAACCTGGGGGTTGGAACCCGGGGCGGGGGGAGGGGGTCATGAGGAGGTGTCAGAAAGGTTGCGAAAGACAACTAGAAAATACAGTATTTTCTGTTGGTTGTGCAGGTTCTGTGTGGGAGGTTTGGCCCAATTCTATCATTGGTGGGGTTCAAAATGCTCCTTGATTGTTTGTGAACCATAAATCACAGCAACTACAAATCCCAAATGTCAAGGTCTATTTTCCCCAAACTCCATCTGTGTTCACATGTGGGCATATGGAGTATTCATGTCAAGTTTCATCCAGATCCATCATTGTTTTGAGTCCACAGTGCTCTCTGGATTTCGGTGAACTGCAACTCCCAAACTCAAGGTCAATGCCCACCAAACCCTTCCAGAATTTTTTGTTGCTTGTGTGAGTTCTATGTGCCAAGTTTGGTTCAATTCCATCATTGGTGAGGTTCAGAATGCCCTTTGATTATAGGTGAACTGTAAATCCCAGCAACTACAAATCCCAAATGACACAATCTATTTTTTGAGTGATGGTTACTCTTTGGGGCAATTTGGTGGCAATTTGTCCAGTGGTTTTTGAGTTATGTTAATCCCACAAACGAACCTTAAAGATAAAGGTAGTCCCCTGACATTAAGTCCAGTCATGTCTGACTCTGGGGTGTGGTGCTCATCTCCATTTCTAAGCCGAAGAGCCAGTGTTGTCCGTAGACACCTCCAAGGTCACGTGGCCAGCATGACTGCATGGAGTGCCGTTACCTTCCCGCTGCAGCGGTACCTATTGATCTACTAACATTTGCATGTTTTCGAACTGCTAGGTTGGAAGAAGCTAGGGCTGACAGCGGAAGCTTACACCGCTCCCCAGAATCGAACCTGCGACCTTTCGATCAACAAGCTCAGCAGCTCAGTGCTTTAACCCACTGCGCCACCGGGGGCTCCCTACAAACGAACATTAGATTTTTATTTATATAGATAAAAATATTTAAGGTGCTTCAAAAATATATTTAAGATGCTATTTAGTTGCAGTTTTGAAAATATTGCCACAACTATAACTCCCCTTCTAACTTCGTCTATGAGGCCTTAGCTGCATGGAGAAAACGAGGTCGATTCTGCCAGCAAGTAAATGATGCTTCTGACAGATTTCAGGAAGTTGGTCCAAGAGAAGTTACTTAGTTAAGTGTAAGTGTACATTCCAGGTATCAGGACCCTTGAAATACTCACTGAGGGTTCAAGACGTGTGATTTGCTCCCGTGCCTTACGAAGCTCTTTAAGGACTTTATGCAACTGATGCTGCAAGTTGTGCCGATCAAGCTTTTCGTTCTCAAAATCTAAAGTGCAGGCCTGGATCTGGTGTAAAACAACAACAGGTTTTTAAAAATCATGTTACAACTTTCATGGTATAATGGAAGACTCAATCAAAGGGTATATTCAATGCCTTTTTATGTTTCATTGTTCCAATAATCTAGTTTTAAAGTTGTGGCTGAACATATATTCCTTTTAATGAAGTTTACTAGCAGTTCATCCAAGGCTGGACTTCAGCTATGTACTGTACACTGGGCTACTTCTGTACCAAGTTTGGAAACTACAAGTAGTTCAAAACATGTCAGCCAGATTGGTTACGCCAGGAACATCTAGAAGGAGCAATGAAAGCACGGACAAACTAAGGATTGTTATTAATTGCCAATATCTAATGGTTGACTGTCTGCTAATGAAACCAGGAAGACAACTCCTCTATTCCATATTACATACCTAATACCAGCTTGGGATACTCTGTGGAATCTGTTTTCATTGAAAGGAAAGGTATTCTGTAATCTCCATAAATGGAAAATTAAATTGAGCCTTTGAGTCCAATGTCTTTAATTCTTACTAAGAACTTAAATGAGGAGGTTACTAGTTTCGCGCATTTGTATGGAATCGCTATCCGTTCTGTTTCATTTATTTCGCCCCGTTTTACTTTTTGTTCACCTCTTCCAAAAACAGGGCAGCTATCCGAATGGGCGTTTTATACTGCATCCCCAGACTCCCCTTCCCCTCAGTTTTAGGGACAGAGGGGAGAAAACTTCCACACATGCTGGGCACATCTACCACTTTTTGCCCACCAAGTTTTATAACCTTTGGGTCATCCCCCAATTTTTAGGGATTTTTTCTTTCTATAAATAAAATCTCCTTAAAAACATGGCATGGATTGTATGTACATCCTTCATTACAACCTGGATTAATTACTTAAGATTCATCTAACCCTGAGAAGTTTAGCTCTCCATCTGCAGAAGAGAAGTGAGTGTAAAGACAGGGCTTAAGATACCACATATGATGCTTTCCTATTGGTGTGCAGAGCAATGGTGGGCAAGGCAAGGCAGGCAGCAGAAGAAGCAGATGGCATTCTCCTCCGCTGATTGGCCTGACAAGCAGGGCTCGGTGGTGCAAAAAGCAGGCAACCAAACAGTTTCTATCCCTACTTTCCTTTTAATTTTGCTGTTTTTTTCCGTACTGGAAAGGGGTGTACCATTTTGTGCCACCCAAATAGACGAAACGAAACGGAAACATGAATTAATCGAATTATATAGATTCCGGCCCATGGCTAGCAGTTACTACTATGACAGATTGCTAAAATCAGAAATAGATATCTGCCTCAGTATGAGGTTGGGGTGAGTGCTTTGTGATTGCTTCATAATATTTTTTAAAGTACTAAAGTGAACATAATGCCTCCGAATTTTACTTTGGACTGAGAAGTGTCAGGAACAGTTAAGTGTACTAAAATAGTAAAGTGTAATTTGATACCTGTTGTTCCAGAGTTGCCATCCTTGTATTTTCCTCCTGTTGTTTTACCAAAGATCTGTGCAGCAGTTCAACCTAAAATATATAGAGAAAACAATATTAACAAAACAAGGCTTGAATGATCCATATGTGTAGATGCAAGATATCTTTCTATGGCTGGTATGTTTTGCCCCTCTGAAAGCTCTCACACTAGAGAAAGAAACATAATGAACAACAATAATTTTCTTTCTTTTACCTCTAGCTCAATATTTTCTATCTTCCCATGGGTAATCCATCCAAAGGTACTCCCACAGAAATCCAAGCATGAACATTGCCTATCATCCCAGCATTGCTTTCCATGGAACGTGCATTTAATGTGTCTAAAAACATGGCTCTTCAGACAGCCTTTGATCCTGACTACTCCATGGGAAATGTGATGAATCATTGATAGTACTGGCCTGCACTTTGATTGTTATGACAGATAGCCAGCCAGCAGGTTCCACTGCGTTTTAGGAATTTTATAATTTTCATTTTTTTAAATAATTTTATCAATGAGATTTTATGCACTGTTGATTATACTTACATCATTGCATTTATACTTTCATATTGTTGTCTGCACGTGGCACTTGGTGTGCTTCATCTACCCCAAGTCCTTTTGGGGAGATGGTGGCAGGGTACAAATAAAGATTATTATTACTTTCCATGGAAAACAACTCAGGATGGACAAACAGTACCAGTACTTGACTAAACATTTGAATCCCGATATCATTAAATTCATGGTTTAATTATCCCAGTGGGGTGTCGTGGTTTAATTGTTGTACTAGGACTTTGGAAAACAAATGTGGAGGGATGACTGTATTATGTCTCATTGGATATTAGTAATATGTTATTGTGCAATAATTTTAACATAATTAAATAATTTTAAAATGTTTTATATCGCCAGTAGTGTTTTCAGGAAGGCACAGTACATCAATATTGCAACAAAATCTTGGTTATTCTCATACACAAACCTGAGATGAGAGAGTTTGTGTCCGTTTTCTTTCTTCGTCTAGTTTTTCTCGCATAACATCATTTTCACGTGTAAGCCTCTGTATTATCTGCCCTTTGAGGTGGTTTTCATCTTGAAGAGTCTTAACATCAAACTGTTTGTGCTGTTTCTGTAGGCTATTCAAATTTATCACTTCCTGCTTGGCTTCATCATACTTCCTTTTGAATTCATTCAGGTCGGAATGCAGCTGGGAGACATTACGCCGTTCGGCCTGGAGATCATTTCGGGCAGTGGCTAAGAGCTGCTCATAATATCTTTGCTTATCTTCTTGAAAGATCCCACCAGAGAGCAAAAACAAGAGAAAGTGGGAGGAAATATCAGAAGATAAGAAAACTTATGCTTCTTAGAAATATGAAGTTAACTAAGGCAACTGCTGCAGTGCGAAAACTTGTATGCCAGTTGCACCTGTATCTTGGGAAGCCAGACTTGACCACGGTGGTCCACGCCCTTGTTACATCGAGACTAGACTACTGCAATGTGCTCTACATGGGGTTGCTTTTGAAGACTGTTCGGAAGCTTCAAATGGTCCAATGGGTGGCAGCCAGATTGCTCACTGGAGAGGCATACAGGGACCATACAACCCCCTGTTACGATAGCTCCACTGGCTGCCAGTGTGCTACCGAGCACAATTCAAAGTGATGGCTTTAGCCTATAAAGCCCTAAACGGTTCCGGCCCAGCTTACCTGTCCGAACGTATCTCCCTCTATGATCCACCTCGGTGGCTAAGATCATAAGGGGAGATTTTCAAACATGACTGGTGGGGATGAGAGACAGGGCCTTCTCCGTGGTGGTCCCTCGTCTATGCAACTCTCTCCCTGGTAAAATCAGATTGCCCCCCTCCCTCCTGGCCTTCAGGAAAAAAAACCTGAAACATGGCTCTGGGATTAAGCTTTTGGTCAATAATGGGAGCAGTACAATAAGAGACTATAAATTAACTTAATGACAACCCAGACTGGCCCTGGAAGATGACCTGGATTATGTGATTTTAATTGTTGTTTTAATTTTATGTTTTAATTGGTTGGTTTTAACGTTTTTGTTTATTCATTCATGTCTATGTACATGCGGCACTGAATTGTTGCCTTTATAAGGCCGCCTTGAGTCCCCTTCAAGGTTGAGAACGGTAGGATACAAGTATGGTAACTAAATAAATATAGTGTCTTATCTGCTGGCATGACTTACTATGTTCCATATGACACCTATTGATATTTTGCCTCTGAAGACTGCCCGGAAGCTTCAACTAGTCCAACACTCGGTTGCTCACTGGGGTACAAGGAGCGCATAATGCCCTTGCTACGGCAGTTCCAATGGCTGCCTATTAGCTTCCGGGCACAATTCAAAGTGTTGGCTTTGGCCTATAAAGCCCTGAACGATTCTGGCCCAGTTTACTTGTCCGAACGTATCTTTCGCTACGATCCACCTAGGACCCTAAGATCATCCGGGGAGGCCCTGCTCATTGTCCCCCCATCATCACAATCGTGTTTGGTGGGGACAAGGGACAGGGCCTTTTCTGTGGTGGCCCCTCGGCTGTGGAACTCCCTCCCAAGCAAAATTAGATCTGCTCCATCCCTCCTGACCTTTCAGAAACAAGTGAAATCCTGGCTATGGGATCGGGCCTTTGAAGACAAGGCTGACCTGCTGGCAAAGCGACGGTTTTAATGGACTTGATGGACTGCTTTTAGGACGATGACTTAAATCGGCGACTGTTTGAATGTTTTAATACTGTTTTTATATTATTATTAATAATAATAATAATAAAACTTTATACCCCGCCACCATCTCCCCAAGGGACTCGGAGCGGCTTACATGAGGCCAAGCCCAACAACACATCAATAAAAACAAGAAAGCAATAAACAAAAACAATACAATACAATACAGTTAATATAAAACACATATAAACAATAAACAATAACACACAAGGATTTAAAAACCTATGGCTGGGCCAAATGTAATAGTTTAAAATTTAAAAAATAAACGCTGGGCATGAACAAGGTAGGATATATCTGGTATAAGGGTTTTAAAAGAAATGAGGGGAGCGCAGTCCAACCCAATCCAATAGAAAAGTGCATTCTGAGGACATGCTGCTGGGAATTTTTCCTTATTCCGGGAAGGCACACATATTGTTTTTATTTAAATTGTATATTTATGCTTTTGGTTGTAGGCACCATGGTGTGCTGGTTGTTAGCACCATGGTGTGCCGGTTGTTAGCTGCCCTGAATCCCTCTGTGAAAGTCGGTAGGACAGGATACAAATGTCCAAAATAATAATAAATAATTTTATAATAGCACCCCAAGGCAGTGATCCTGCTGCAGCTGAACTCCAAAACATGACTTCTGTTGGTTTTCGTGGAGCAGAACTGGGGTAAAACCTAGATTTTCTTCCTCTTGTCAATTACTGGTTAAGAAACTGCTACATCGATGGAAAATGGGACAGCCCCTTGATGTGGCAGTTTATACGAAACAGTACATATAGCTAATTCACGGTGCACATGCTCAAAGATCTGGTTCAAGTTCAAGTGGTATTGAAAAAGAATTTCCTGCATCCTGAGCAGGTCATGGAGAGGCTCAAATGCTGCTCGGCATTTTCAGGAAAATAGGATACCAGTGTATAGATTCAGAATTTGCCCCACACAGAAGAGAAAAGCACTGGATGCAAAGATAACAGAATAAAAAAGGGTCACAAAAAGACTTGCTAAAGACATAATCTTGCTCAGGCAGATGACAGCGATATCTGAAGGACTGACTGCACCTGTACAAGCTTGATTAGGCCTGGGATCAATGCCTGCTTTTAGGGCCATCTATTAAAGATGTGAAATTGCTGGTTGCCAAGGGGATCCTCAACATGATGGCTCATGAAGCTCCATTATTCCAAACGTTTTATTAAGTACTGATCTGCGGAACTTTTTAAAAGGCTGTTCATTTCGTAAAGGGTTTTAAGAACAACTTTTTTCTTATTTTATTTATTTTCCTTTCTGCTTTATGGAAATGTTGATTTAGAGACTGGTTGCCTGGAAGGCAGCTTATAGTTTGTTAATAAGTTTAAGGGGTATGCATATACACATTCATGGTTATGGAGAAGTAAACAAATTAAATTCTTAACTCGGACCTCTCTATAGGACAACAGTCAATGCAGCGACTTCTCGGTCCCCTCAAATTCATCTTTGACTTACAAAATAGCTTGGAAAAGTTTCATTTTTGGACTGAATTCCAAGAACATGCCCATATCGGCTGTTATGCAAATAATCTATATAAATAAAAATGTAATGTTCCTTTGTGGGATTAACAGAACTCAAAAACTACTGGATGAATTAACACGCAATTTGGACACTACACCCCTAACAGACCAATGAGTGACCATCACTCATAAACCACCCCCCCCCCAAAAAAAAAACAGTGGAAAGGACTTAAAAAACCCCCAAAAGCTAAATGACAGAAAGCTAAATGACAATACAGAAAAAAGGAGAGGGGGGAAGAAGGGGAGAAGAAGAAAGAAAGAAAGAAAGAGAGAGAAGGAAGGAAAAGAGAGAAAGAGAAGAAAAAAGGGGAAAGGAAAGGAAAGAGGGAGCAAAGGAAGGAGAGAAAGGAGAGGGAAAGAAAGAAGAAAGAGAGAAGGAGCATGGAAGCAAAGAGCGAAAGAAGGAAGGAAAAGGTAGAAAGAAGGAAGGAAAGAGAGAAGAAAGGAAAGAAAGAAAGAGGAGGAAGGAAGGAAAGAAGGAAGAGGAAAAAGGAGAAGGAAAGAGGAGAAAAGGAAGAAGGGGGAAAGAAGGGGAAGGAAAGAAAGAAAAGAGGAAGAAAGAAAGAAAAGACAGAGGTAGAGAAGGAAGAAAGGAGAGAAAGGGGGAGAAAAAGGGGGAAGGAAGAGGTAGAGGAGGAAGAGAGAGGAAGGAGAGGAAGGAAAGAAGAAAAGAAAGGAAAGGAAGGAAGGAGCAAAGGAAGAGGGAAAGAAGGAGAGAAAGAGGGAGGGAAGGTTGGCAGCAATGTGTGGCGGGTACAGCTAATAATAATAATAATGTTCCTAAATTTCATTCCTTATCAAACATGCATTTCCAAATTGAAAATAAGACGTGACCTCACTTGGGTTAAACCATTGTGCCAGCAGGACTGCTGACCAAAAGGTTAGCAGTTCAAATCCAGGGAGCAGGGTGAGCTCCCATCTGTCAGCTCCAGCTTCCCATGAGAGAAGCCTCCCGCAGGATGGTAAAACATCCAAGCGTCTCCTGGGCAACGTCATTGCAGACAGCCAATTTTCTCACACCAGAAGCAATTTGCAGTTTCTCAAGTCGCTCATGACACAAAGAAAATTTCACTTTAAAGGAGCTTTCTGTGCTGCTTCTACAGGTTCTTATAATATTAGTGTTGGAAAGGAGGACATCTTTTGGCAAATTATCCTGGTATTTCTGCTGTCACCCTCATGCTCAGCAGCACACTAGTACACTGAACTCTCCCACAATCAAAATATGACAGCTAAAATAGCGTACAATTCTCTGGCATTACAATCTGGATCTAACTATAAGGCACACACCCTTATCATAGCATTGTAATTGCATCGCTCCTTTTTATGACTTAACTGGCGTTTGAAGTATTCTAATTTAAAGCCACTCCTAGTGATATCTCCTTATCAAATCAAGCATGGCTACTAGTGTTTGTTATAGTTGCAACTGTTTTATAGCTTTCCCCATATGCTGTTATACCTAGAATTAAGCAGGTCAGTTAAACACCATGGCTAATCTGTGTAAAATCTTTGTTTCATCATTTTCTTTGATAATTAGATACCTTGTTTATCTGGTTCAGTATATGCACAGGTAACAAACTAGCCAAAAGCTCAATGCAAAATAAATTGCAGCATACCTGACAGATGGCTACGCAGCCTCTGTTTGAATACTTGTAGTGAATGAGAATCCACTGTGTTCAGAAGCAATGTACTTGGCTGGCTTTAGCACAGTAGGTTAATCACTAGCTACAGCTGCAGTAAATCTTGCCAACTGAATGGTTGACAGTTTGAAGCTGGGTCAGGATGAGCTCCTGATCTTCAACACAGCTCCCCACCCACCGAGCGGATCGAAAACAGCAATGTGAGTAGATTAACTGTATTAAACGTTTGTGGGGAGGTATTTTAGGCATGGCATTTCAGAAGAAAGTTTAAAAACAAAGAGAGCTCTTCGGCAAGGAGATGGAGTGACAGCACCCCCCTGTGGCCGGAACAGAGCACAGCCTCCAAAGATGCTGAATGATGAGAAAAAGCCTATATCTGTCATCTGTCTTGTCATGTCTTGTCATTGTGTAATCGGCCTTGAATGTTTGCCATATATGTGTTCTGTGATATGCCCTGAGTCCCCTTCGGGGTAAGAAGAGCAAAATTTAAGTATGGTAAAAATAAATGTACTGCTCTCTCAAACAACTCCAATTATCAGGACATTTCTCCTAACAATTCACAAGTCATAATCCTGCTCAATTGAGCAGGAGAAAATATTTATTTATTTTAAACATTTATATTCCGCCCTTCTCACCCCGCAGGGGACTCAGGCCAGAGCACAACATATATACGGAAAACATTCAATGCCAGGTCATAAAACCATAAATATATACAAACATTAAAATCACTTATATTCACATTAAAAGTTGCTTAAAAACCATCTCAGGACACTATTTCGCCTCATTGCACTTCCCCAAAGGCTTGGTCCCACAGCTAGTATGTTTGTTTTGTCTTCTGGTCTTGCTATCTAGATCTTTCGTGATCCCTCTTGCATTCCTCTGGATGAGTTTGTCAATGTCTCTTTTTAAAAAATAATATGGCACCCAATACTCAGAGGAAGACCTGAAAGCCTGCACAGGAAAGTGATTTAAACACTGGACTGATTCTAGGAAAACGGAATTGAAATTCCTGCTCAGCCACTGAAACTAGGTGCAACTTGAGCAACTCACTCTCTCAGCCTCATGAACAAATATTACAAAGAAAACCCTTTGCTTGGGTCACGTTAGCATTGCCATATGATGGAAACATTTTGAAGGCAGACAACACATGCATATGCAATGAGAACCAGATTCTAGCCGCAACCTGTTCAGGCAAGGGATCAGACAGCCAAATAGCTAGTTTTTTTAGGTATAGAGAACCCATAGGTGGTCCTTACCCCACACTTGACTTTGGCACCTTCTATACTGCCATATAAAATCCAGATTGTCTGCTTTGAACTGGATTATCTGACATTGTAGATGCCTATGATCCAGTTCAAAGGAGATAAATAGGAAGAAAGGAGGACCTCTCCAAGAGTAGCATCCTAAGGCCCCTTACACACAGCTGAATAAAATCCCACATTTTATGCTGTAATAATAATAATAATAATAATAATAATAATAATAATAATACCAGATGACAGTTGCATTGAGGAAAAACAACAGGAAAAACTCAGCCGCTATCAAGACCCCAAAATCGAACTGCAAAGGCTCTGGCATAAACCAGTACAGGTGGTCCCAGTGGTCATCGGCACACTGGGTGCCATGCCAAAAGATCTCAGCCGGCATTTGGAAACAATAAACATCGACAAAATCACGATCTGTCAACTGCAAAAGGCCACCTTACTTGGATCTGCACACATCATTCGAAAATACATCACACAGTCCTAGATGCTTGGGAAGTGTTCGACTTGTGATTTTGTGATACGAAATCCAGCATATAGATCTCATTTGCTGTGACATACGGTGTTTTTGCATCAGTAAAATAATAATAATAATAATAATAATAATAATAACTGGGGCGACATACAGGGAGCATACCACCTCCCTGTTGTGCCAGCTCTACTGGCTGCCAGTCCATCTCCGAGCCCAATTCAAAGTGCTGGTTTTGACCTATAAAGCTCTATACGGTTTTGGCCCAGCTTACTTGTCCAAATGCATCCACCCCTATATCCCATCTTGTAATCTAAGATAATCCAGGGAGGTCCTGCTCTCGCTCCCATCAATTGCGCAAATACGTCTGGCGGGGACAAGAGACAGGGCCTTCTCGGCGGTAGCCCCTCGCTTATGGAACACACTCCCAAATGAGGTAAGATCTGCTCCCTCCCTCCTGGCTTTTAGAAAGAAATTAAAATCCTGGCTTTAGGACCAGGTCTTCAGACAGTAGTTTTGTACATGGACTAGAATGACAATATGACTGGCAAGACTATTTTTATTATTTATTGTTTTAATGATTGCTTATGTACTGTCTAATTATGATTTATGTTTTGGTTTTATTATTGTCATTGTTATGGATTGGCATCGCGTCAGTGTCCAATGTATGGCATTGAAGTTTTGGCAGTTATGTGTAAACCGCTTTGAGTACCCCTAGGAGTGAGAAAAGCGGTATAGAAATACTGTAAATAAATAAATAAATAAATAACAATTTTATTTATACCCCGCCACCATCTCCTCAAGAGGACTCGGGGCAGCTTACATGCTTTGAACTGGAATATATGGCAGTGTGGACTCAGATAACCCAGTTCAAAGCAGATATTGTGGGATATTCTACCTTGATATTCAGGGTTATATGGCTGTGTGGAAGGGCCCTAAGTAATCAAACCTCTTTCCAGACTAATCATTAAGGCTCGGAGCAACAAAGACATCCTGAGCTTGCAAACCTGCCTAGGGCAAAGGCTATCTACACTCCATATGCCACCAAAAGCGGGGACTGCCCTGCCATTACACGAGGATCATAATGTTCATATTATATGCTTCCTGGTGATTTTATTGACTCCACCTTTGCAGATTCACAGAACAGAGGCACTGATAAAGGGATACCTCCTCACAATACTTCAGCACTCATCACCCATAGGATTCTAGGAAGAATTGATTTATGACAAATGCCTAATGATCCCAATGTACATTAAAAAGTTAGTGCATTCTGTTGCGCTGGTATAAACTAGAAACTTAATGGACCTATGAAAGACACAAGCAAACAAACTGTAAATTAAGTAGCGCCAGCTATCCTGTGACCAAGTCTCTCCAGAATTTTCTAGTTTATAGTAGCAGTTACCGTAATTCCTGAAAATGCGCACCCTCAATAAATGGAAGGGCTTTTTTCAAATAATGTGTTTAAAAATCCACACCTCAAAAGCAACTTTTGTGTACCTACTAACTTGAGCCATCAGGTAGGAGGAAATATGCCAAGTCTAGTCACAGTGAATATATTTCCCTATACTCTCCTAAGATTGACATCATAGTAGCTAAGCAATAATTAATTCACCCACCCCCTCCCCCCTACATGTTTTAACACCATGAACGTAAGTGTCAGAAAAGGGGGAAATTACATTTCACACAGTATTCTGTTTGGGCGTCAATAGTTAAAAATAGAAGTCTGATTAAGCCAACATTTTCCATCCAAACTAGTTTTTTTTCTAAATACTGGTCAGCTGAAAGAACAGTCATAGCTAAATACCTTCAGGTTTGGCTTCTTTTGCTTGTTGTTCCAGTTCAAAGATCCTCGCCAAAAGGCCCTGAACATAAGCTTCTCGCTGCTGGTCATACAGGAGCCATTGCTGGTTTTTAACCAACGCCTTGGAAGTGAAGAGAATCATGAAGTTAGAAAAACTGACTTACAGAAAAAAATGCATTTAGACTCTGCTTTTTTAGTAATCAATATCCCATTAGTACCTGAAAGACAGCCCATATGCAACATTCCTCCCACTCTCCCCTCCCAACCTGGAGAGAAAGTTTAATGTGCTCAAGATCTTATAAGAAGATGTTCTAGTTCAGTGGTTCTCAACCTGTGGGTCCCCAGATGTTTTAGCCTATAATTCCCAGAAATCCCAGCCAGTTTACCAGCTGTTAGGACTTCTGGGAGTTGAAAGCCAAAAACATCTGGGGGGCCCAGGTTGAGTTGATCAGCTTAATATTTCCTCTTTAGCATGGCAAGAACCATCATCATGGTCTTCATTCATTATTAGCTCCTCTGTGCAATAGTTTAAAATGAGTATGTACAGATTTAGGTGTTTTGTGTGTGTGTGTGTGTCAGGAGCTACGAGAAACTGCAAGTCACTTCTGGTGTGAAAGAACCGACCGTCTGCAAGGACGTTACCCAGGGTATGCACAGATGTTTTACCATCCTGTGGGAGGCTTCTCTCATGTCTCTGCACGGGAAGCTGGAGTTGACAGATGGGAGCTCACCACACTCCCCGGATTCGAACTGCCGATCTTTCGGTCAGCAGTCTTGCTGGCATAAGGGTTTAACTCACTGCACCACCAGGGGTTCCATCATTTAGATCAGAGGTCCTCAAACTAAGGCCCGGGGGCCGGATACGGCCCTCCAAGGTCATTTACCTGGCCCTCGCTCAGGGTCAACCTTAGTCTGAAACGATTTGAAAGCTCACAACAATAACAACAATTCTATCTCATCAGCCAAAAGCAGGCCCACACTTCCCATTGAAATACTAATAAGTTTATATTTGTTTAAATTGTTCTTCATTTTAATTATTGTATTGTTTTTAATTGTTTTTTGCACTACAAATAAGATATGTGCAGTGTGTGATTCATTCATGGTTTGTTTTTGTTTTTCAAATTATAATCCGGCCCTCCAACAGTTTGAGGGACTGTAACCTGGCCCTCTGTTTAAAAAGTTTGAGGACCCCTGATTTAAACAATGAAGTTGCTTAACTTCAAGATATTGTTAAATAAAGTATTGTTGATTTACTGCAAGTGATCCAGATATTTACCAGTAGACTGGTATCTTTTGCCCGCATTTCCTCAACTCAACACAGAAAAACACCCTTAATGTGTACAGAGGTGCTGTCGCCATGGTGTTCCCAAAGCAATCCATGATGTCAGGATATGTAAACACAAATAACTGAAGCTAAAGAACTTAAATCAAACAGCAAGATCAGTTTTATTTAAGATTAAGAAATCCTTGTAAAGATAGGACATGGATATGCATACCATCTGTAGGTGTGATTGGCACTAGTTTTTTTTGTTTTTGTTTCTTTTGCAAACAACACACATTTTGACACTAGTCCAGGAAGCACAGGCAAACTATTTGGGATATTTTCCAAACCTCTTTAAGCAAATTTTTTGATTACGTTTTTTGCAGTGTCTCAGCTGACGATGTTCAAGAAATCCATTTATTGCGGATTGTCAGACCATAATTTATAGCATTTTGTACATGCCTACACATAAGTAAATCCCACAGAAGTCATCTGGGGTTAGTCCCAGGTAAGTGTGCAGCCTTTGGTGTCTGATTTACAGTTTTAAAACTTGACTTACAAGACTTCAACATCAGTGAAATAGTTTGATGGTGAAACTCTTCCCAATCTCTCTTAATAGTAGCATGTAATGCATCTTTAAAAAACTAACACTTTCTAATGGCTTTTAGACAATGTTTTCTCCTACTACTGGATTTACTGCTATGGTCCTAAAACATTTTTGGAATTGCATCAATATATATTAATGTATCCTTGTATCATCATATATGTCAGTTTTTTTACTGTATGTTGTTTGTAAACTTGAATTTTCTTTCCTGTTTTGAATATTATAACTAATATAAGAAGATACTGGAAAGATCAGTATACAAATCTTTTGTCAAAAGGAAATTAAGGGAAAACACACACATTGGAAGACAATGCTAAGAATTTATAGATAACTTGACACAAGGTTTTGTTTTTTTATATTCAGACCAATAAAAACCTATAGCCACGTACACAGCTCAAACCATGCCATCTGGCAAGTCTATTTACTCTGCTAACTTGGGATTGGATCCAAAAGAACGACTTGGACCCATGAAACAGCCTTCTGCTAGCCCCATAGAATTTGAGTGTTCCTGAAACAACAGCTCCCAAGGATTTATCACACTGATTTTGAAAGTGGTCCAAGAGTAGTGTGCCAGGTAGCATATGGGCTGCTGGTAAACAGCCCAAGATTCTCTCTTTCTACGCTTACAGTATACTTATGGTTGACATTTTTCTCAGCAAGTGCTCAGTATATGGACAAGACAGTTACAGTAAGCTGGTAAACATCACACTAAATAATTTGCTGTTCAATCCAATCAACTAAACAAGACTGCAATGTGAACAGAAAAGGTTACATTGTGTTTCAGTTTAAAGCAGGGGTCCTCAAACTGAGGCCCAAGGGCCAGAAACAGCCCTCCAAGGTCATTTACCCAGCCCTCGCTCAGGGTCAATCTAAGTCTGAAACGACTTGAAAGCACATAACAACAACAACAGCAATCCTATCTCTTCAGCCAAAAGCAGGCCCACACTTCCCATTGAAATACTAATAAGTTTATATTTGTTAAAATTGTTATTTATTTCTTGTATTGTTTTAAGTGTTTTTTTCACTACAAATAAAATATGTGCAGTGTGCATAGGAATTCATTCATTTTTTTTCCAAATTATAATCCGGCCCTCCAACAGTTTGGGGGACTGTGACCTGGCCCTCTGTTTAAAATGTTTGAGGACCCCTGGTTTAAAGTATCAATTCTAAATTGCAAGGAAGCTAAATGCACATTTTAATAACAGCATCTCTGCCCTTTCTAAACCAAATAGGTAGATGTGAAAGTTTCTGGAGTTTTGGCCCATTCTCCAACTACAAAAGTTAAAACTGAGGTTTGAACCACAATTCAAAATCACCTTTTTTAAAATTCTAAAGTTAAAGAACTGATCTGTACAAGATGCTAAGTCATTGACTAGGTGGGTAGGAAAACATTGCCAGAATTCCATCTTATGTCAACACATTTATTCACGACTATGTAAATTTGATCTTTGAATTAATAGTGTAAAGTAGGCATGGGCAAACTTTTTTGCCCTGGGGCCACATTGTGCGCTTGGCCGGGAGAGTCAGACCAGGAGGGAGGGCAGAGTGGGCCCAGGAGGGGGCGGGGCAGGGAGTGGGTCATGGAGGAGACTGGGCTTTGGGGTGAGTAGGCCTGGGGGGAGGTGAGCCCAGGAAGGGGCTGGGCCAAGGATAGATCACCCTCTGGCTTTACCCCAGCTGCTCGCCCCATCCTTATGCTGGGATGGTGAGGCTTTGGGAGTCCCTCAACCTCTGCTTGCCTCTTCCGGCGTCAGGCGAGGCCCCATCCTGATGCCAGAAGAAGGGAGAGGCAAGTGGCAGGTGAAGCAGCTTTGGAATTGCTTTTTCCGCCACTTGCCTTTTTGCCTGGGCAGGCTTTCTCTTGGCATCTGGAAGGTGCCTCGCCTCAACCTGATGCCAAATGAAGGGAGAGACAAGCAGAAGGAGAGGTGGCTTTGGAACCGCTTCACCCACCACTTTCCTCTTCGTTTGGGCCAGGCTTCTCCTGGCATTGGGCCAGAACAGCTCGCCCTGTCCTTATGCCAGGAGGAAGGCCCAAGGAAGGCACACAGCGATTGAAAGCCACCGCATGACTTCCTCCCTTGTCCTTTCGGCATAAAGGCACAGCAGGCCACCACATCCTTATGCCCAGAGGACAGGGGAAATTTTGAGGGGTGGACATAAGGGCCCAGAGGGCTGTGTCCAGTCCGTGGGCCTTAGTTTGTCCATGCCTGATGTAAGGCATATGGATGTAACACTGGAGCTCAGAACCCAAAATAAATGCATAAATTGTTCATGTGACACTTTTCATTTGTATAACATTTTTTTCAGTATAACAATGCTGCATTTTACAACTACATCATTTAATCCCATAAGAAACTGCAAGAAACAATTTCCCCTTCCCACTGCAGCTCTAGAACAAAAACTCCAAGACAGTATGTTTAGTGTCAGCTGCCAGAGGAAAGGGCTAAAAATCCAAATGTTATTGAAACTGAATTGAATGTAAGCCTTATTTTAAATAAATCTTTCCCAATTTGATGTTAGGGATCATTAGATTCTGCCAGTAAAGTCAAGGCAAGGAAGGGAAATGACTGGACCTCTGGATGTTGCTATGCTGAAAAGATTTTTAAAGTTCTGTACACATCCATCTATAAGAGTGCCTTTTCCCCTAGGTATCTCTGCTTCATATTACAGGCACAATTTGCTGACAGACTTTGGACTAGAGAATAGCTCTTTTGTTCATTCAACATGGTTCCAGTTTCTTACGGTGTGGAATTCTCTGTATTAAAGCTTGCACTCCCAAACATCCTTATTTGGGAGTACCGTTTCAATCAATCTAATGAAACATATTCCAAGTAAACATGCAAAGGATGAGTCTGAATGGCTTGAGTACGTATTTTTGTAAAGTAGCATATGCCGAAATTTTTATATGTAGTCTTACATCTTTCAGTTGCATTTCAATGCCATTTACATATCCCGAGGTTCCAGAGCAGCCTGCAACCATTTCCTGGAAGAA